TACGCCCTCAACATCAAAATATGTTCAAAGCTTGAGTTCTCGATGTCAAAACTAGCGGATTTCATTCCTGCAGCTAAGCCTTTCCTGACCAAGCTATGCTGCACGGTGTCAAAGCTGTGATTTTCATTAAAAAGCTACACTTTCATTGGTACCCCTGATCTTGCAGTGACATCATGAATATTGAGGTATAACACCTACTCTTCTATAGTACCCAACAGTGGTGACAACACTCTTACCACGCTCGATGATCGCAAGGCCGGTAAAGCATAATAACATAAGGATTTACTATTTCCAGTGTGACTTAAAACGAACACATCAAACACGGCACTAAGTATAGTTTGAATAGCTTTAGTCTGAATATCAGTGAGTTGCATGATGTATGGATATCGTCCTTGCATTGCCTTGACATCCAAGCCAACACAGCTTCCACTGTGCGCAGCGAAATTTATTATCGGGTCAGACATTTTCACCGCCTGGCAACCATCTTGGTGAAAACAAAGTCCAATAAATTCTAAGAAAACGGTATTTTGGGATGGTCGTTGACACCCCTGAACAGTGTAACAAGATTACCCCTACATATGCAACATATTTAAATTTGGTTGTTTAGGATTTCTTCAAAGTTAAGGTCGTGCTGTTTTCTCAAATTTAACCGTTTTCACCGGCTTTTCGACCGGTACTTCACAGCAGCTCGCGCAGAGCCCATAGAAATACATGGTAGAGTGGAGCGCGTCTTAAAATAGCAGCGTGGGGCGTCTCGTGAAGAATTTGATAGCTTGGCCAAGCGCGTTGAAGAAAGAAGCAATATGATTGGCTGTTGGTAAATTGATTCTAAACTGTGAGGGCATTGTCACATACACATATTCCTAATGAAATACTTCAATGTGATAGCGGAGTGCTTCGCCGGAACATTCACCTTGAAAATTCAAGATGCTATTTGTCCTACACAAACTAACACCACATGCCCCAAACACATACGACCATATATTTGTTTGTGCCAATCATAAAATACTTACTATTATTCATCTTATTTATATTTGAACTTTTTTTTTTAAATGTTTTTTTGTGCCAGGCGACAGTTCCGGACATTGAATATCACAGGAGGCATATTCATATTTGGGATTATATGACAGGGCTGTGCGACCATCTTCCTATCAAATTGCAATGTAATGCGCTATCCTGGCGTCAACCAGGCTCGGTCGAACACAAGCATCTGTGGACCTTAAACAAGGTTCCCCCAAAGTCGCATTTGTTAGTGAATGAATCTCGGCTATTGGAATTGACCTTCCCATTGAGTATGTGCCACACTCACCCAGGATATGGGTCTACCGATCATGATTCTGATGCGACAACCACTATGCTACCAGTGACCGTTCTTTATATTTGAACTTTAGGTTTAAAGATAATAATATTCTCGAAGATTGGTCATACAGCACTAACACTTCCTTGATATTGGAAAATTTAAACATATCAGATGCTGGTACATATACATGTAGAGTGAACAGTGATGCTGGAGCAGCATTCTCCATCCCGGCTGTACTTCAAATACATGGTAAGATATGGTGTATCTTCTGACACCATTGATGGTGACATAAGACTAGGTTGTCATCAACTTACACTGCGAAAAAAAATAAACATCATTCCAAATCGATATGATTAATATAGCAATGAATTTAATTCAAATGAATATGACGATACACATCTACAAAACAAACCTTTAGTTCAAGACATTATATAAAACGGAAAAAAGATAAAAGTTAATAAACAAATACAAAAATATAATCACATATTCCACGTAACCATTATCGTCTTCGATTACATCATTCAGTATCAAGATTTAAGCAGATTGCTAATGATACAGACTATACAATAATAGCTTCTATGTGTTTTTTTTCAACACAGATTCCTGTACTTGCAAGTGTGATCTCGCATACAAATTAACATATTTGTTCAATCCACTGCAGATACGGCAGACACATGTAGCAGAAGCCTAAGACCCAATTATATTCAGCTTCCAGATGGATGCACAGGACCTAATGGAACCAACCAATATGATACAGGAATGTGCAGTCGATCCAAATGCTCTGGCGATCCAGGAAACGGCGCAGACAGATGCACAGATACAGAAAAGTATTGTTGCGTTGAATCTAACACAGAACAAAGACAACTCACATGCAGAGATTTTACAATTTCTATAATTGTTGTCACTGGATGCAAATGTGATTTATGTAGCAATCCAACAAAGGTTGTGTCAGGTCGAGCATTGTCCGCCGATACGAAAGAACCATTAGCTTATGGTGACGTTTTCATAGGTTATGAGTTTGTACGGAAAACAACCTTTAATGGCGAGTTTATTTTTAACGTTCCTGAGGGTAGGCAGCGTCTGTCGGTTACATTTCATGATGGAAGCAAGGAGCTTGCTGATGCAACAAAAGTGATTACCATAACGGACACTATTAAATACTATATAGTTGTATTTCTTCAACGTCGAGCACCAACTGTGACATTCAATGCATCGGAAACTACCATACTTGATGTGGGAAATGCTACACAGCCTTCTATAGAACTAGAGATTCCGCCAATGTCAATTCGTACTGGAAATGGTACTTTATACACAGGCAATGTTACAGCCAGTGTCAATTTTATCGACCCGAGGGATTCACAGATTGTTGACACAATCCAAAGCGATCTGAGTACACGTGACGTTGAAGGGAATGTTCAAAATTTGAATACATTTGGTATGGTATCGATGAATTTCGAAGATGACAGTGGCGACCCCCTTGATGTCGATGGCAGCATCAAAATATACGTTGACGCAGAAAAAGCAAATTTGAACATAACAGAAATAGATGAAAATATGTTACCGAGGCTGTGGCTCCTGAATGCAGAGAGTGGTGAATGGGAAGATATAGGTGGGCTACGTTTAGAGAGTAGTAAACGACGGAAACGTGACATTGAAGAAGTGTTCATCGTGGGAGATATTGAAGTCACAGGTATAAGCATAAACAGCATTTGGTGCAACATTGACAGCATAGAAAGGTTGGATCAAGTGTGTTTTCTTAAGGTGAGGGTGTACGATGATGAACAGCTCACAGTTCCCATGGACAATGTTGAAGTAACTGCAATAACCAATGATCTAGATATAAGGGTTGCAAGAACAAACAGAGGACTTAGATATTCCGGGGGAAAGTTCAATTTTTTTGACAAAAAAGTAACGCAAGTTGGTCAAACATGTCTACGAGTATTCTGTGATTCAACTGGCTTGAAGTTTTACCTGAATGTACGTGCTAAATACGATGACAAAGTCTGCACTCCAGTGAGCCCACTCAGTGCTTCAGTTGTTGCCCATCCAAACACGTGGCCAAGTGAAATAGTAGACTCGTACACTTCTCCAGATATTTGGGACGACACAGGATTTATTACAATGTCTGGAAGAAAGAATCCAAATGCTGATGGTCCAATATACTCATCTGATGTACAAACGTGGTCCGGTATGCGCAATGCGGAATACCGATGCAATGCTGCTGACTACATTGATAATCATTTAATATTTAGGAAAAATCAAGAGCAAAATATAAATGATCTCTTTTCGTTCAACACTCAACCATATACTTTCAGTGAAGCCAGTTATTCGCAGTCCAGGGTTCCATGCTCTTGGTATCCAATTGAAGGTCAGTTAAAGAGAGTATGTTTCATTAAGATTTTGGTTGATGGACCCAACTCCAGTAGATTCAGAGTCATTAGTGCGAAAGACCCAGGGAACGTCAACGTTGATTGCGACGAATACGGATTTCGAGTGGCATCAACACCAGAAAACCAGATAAATGCATTCGGTACTAAATCTGCTGTTTGCATTGAATTCAAATGTAGTGGTGATGTTCGAGTCAGTAATAATGCCGAGGCATTGGGGGCGTCAATTGATGGAATCATTGGACAAGATTTGACGACAGTTAAAGTTATACCTGATGCAACCTCAAGCACCTGTTTCCTGCAAAACTGCGGGCGTTAATACAGAGTTTCGAAACTTAGTCCATGGAACATATAATGGGACATCTGTAATCCATTTTAGCGTTCCACGTTCATATTTCAGGGCATCTCAAGGCATTTATGAAGCAAGTGGTGAGAAAAAGACAGGCTATGATGAAGCTTGGCCAAATGTAATGAAGGGAATGACATTATTTGGGGATCTGGTGACAACCCAGAGAAGAATTGGGCTTTAAATTATGAATGTCCCTAGAATGCTTATAATAATAAAGCTCATGTATATTCAATTCAACTTACTTAAATCTTTTTCAGTATATTCCAGATATCAGATGAATTATTGACAACGTATACGTACATTCATACATGGCATTATTATGCTAATAATGCAATTACGTTATATAACATGTACAATTATATATCAATAGTAATGTATCTAATAAGACTGAAATATAGTTGAATTAAGCCTATAATATTATACAGAGCCTTTTTTGTCTCAATATTTGAAATAACTAATATGGTCTGATAAAGTTTGAGGTTCTTTTTCACCCATAGTCACAAGACCGCATTATGTAGGATAGCAAGCTGTTAGAAGAAAATAATTTGTGTTGTTTGTTCATAGAAAGGGTAGATTGGTATATATATTATTGAACTGTGTAACATAAGGTTGTATGAAATGTTTATTTCAAGCACGTAGCTTTAGATTATTTTCATGTGTGAACATTCGTAAAAATCAGAAATATAAAGATATTATATTTTCTTCTTTTATATAAATAACATATTATAATTATATCATAAAAATAAGAAAATATAAAAATATTATATATTATATGACATTAGGGGACTGTGTCGGCGCTAAGTCAGCATCATCCACAGGCCGTCAAGTAAGACTTCTGGGCGGCGTTTCCATTGCTGCAGCCAGGCTCACAGCGTCCACTTCCATAGCGTGAAAGTTGTGTTTAACGCTTATTTTAGCTTGCCGTTGAAAAAATATTGTGCATTAAAAATTCGAGCACGCGCGGGGTTGGGGTCACGCGAGCCCCCCCTGGCTATGGGCATGTTACATTGTCATAATGTTATTCTGATTGGAAGATCATGGTCACACAGCCCTGTCATGTAGTCCTAAACATGGAATATGGTTTCTGTGGTAAAATGCACTGTATGTATGCATTACACATGCCCGTAGCCAAGAGTTAGCTTGGGGGTTCTTTTTACTCCCTGAGGAACCAACGAGCGTCGAAGTCCCGAGCTTACTATGGGGGTCCGTTTCGCAAGGAAGCCGACAAGTGTCTTTGATCCGACCGCCAATTCGCACCCCCACGTAGGAACGTGGAACTTCCTTGGCCTCGCAGTGCTGTCAAAAGAGGTGGCATTGTTCACATTATGAAACATCCCGTCATAACCTGGATTCAATAAACTGTTCGTTTCTTACAGTTTGACACATCACAGTGAAAATGCTTTACAATAGGTATTTTTGCTTTAAAACGCCTCCAATAGGATTTAATCATAGACTGCATGTAGCACATTGACCAGCGCTGGGTGATGTTTAACATAGAGACAGCCAGGCGTCACTTTTTTAACTGGCAGAGTGTCGCCTGCAAGGGACGCGGTTGACTGCGGTCCACCACTTTTATGGCATAAAAAATTGTTTTAACCTTACTTTAACGTGTTTTACTCTTCCGTTTAACAAATATTTTAGATTAAAAAACATGTATTGGTTAACTGTCATGGCCACTGTCGAAGGTCAAAATTTGACCAGAGGGGGGTAATCACCCTTTTCTGAGGGTCTAGGGCTTTCAATTTTTTTACTGTATATAGTACTGCCTAAGTGCAATAAATATCGCCAATAAAAACTTTAGCGGTCACGTGACTTTTTCTGTTATGTCACTAAAATCCTTCTTCTCCTGAACAACATTGCTGGTCGCTATGAAACTCAGTATATAGCTTCTACTAATATATATCTACTTAGTTTAATTGGAAAACAAAATTTGATTAGATCATTAATTTGGTCGCCATCTTTGATTTAGTGAAAACCGAAAGCGGCCATTTTGACCACTTTGTGGCGGTCTAGATGTCCCAATTTTGGTTGTGTTGCACCTGTAGCCCATGCCTATCCTTAATGAGGTAAAAGACCATTGGAGGTCACGTGACTTTTACCGCTATTTTGTTTTGTTTTTTCGAAAACGAGGCTAAATCCTTTAAAAATTATAAAGTTGCAGACCGATTGACATAACATTTGTCATAATCTACATGCATAGCTCTTTCAAGTTTGACCCCAAAAAGTTGATTGGTCACGTGGTTTGGCCGCCATCTTGAATTATAGGAAAAACTGATCAAAAATTTAGGCATTTCCCAAAGGTGCATCCACAGATCAACTAAATAAATATGTATGTGACATGTCTGGTCAAAGCTTTATATGAAAAAAATAATAAAATTTCGATCTTTCACTTGGTTTGGCCGCCATCTTGGATTTTGTGAAAACGAGATATAAGCAATTACATGAGTTGTATTGGTTCGATTGGGGTGAAAATTCGTATGTGCATGGCTAGGTCCTGTGGCTGGGCGCCCATTGGGTGGGGGCTTCTAACCTCATTAATATGCATAACTGTTATTTCTCAAGCACTGTTGCAGTTAGAAAGATGAATCCTTTGTTATTATGGCAACATTAAACAAGTGATTTGTTTAAAATAACAGATGACCATACATGGTCATGTGAGCTCATTAATATGCATAACTGATATATTTCAAACACTATTGCAGTTAGGAAGATGATTCCTGTGTTATTATGACAATGTTCAACAAGAGATTTGATTAAAATAACAGATGACCGTATATGGTCATGTGAGCTCAATAATATGCATAACTGTTATATC